CTGGGTTAGGAAAGTTTTTTTTTTTTTTTGCTTATTCTCTGAAAGATGCTGCCGGGGCGGGGGGCTGCAGGGGGCTTGGGGCAGTCCCGCCGGCTTTGGAGAGCTTGCAGGGGTTTTTTTTCGGACTTAAAATAGAGATTTTTGCTGCTTTGAAGGGTTAGAAATGGTTGGGGTGTTGTTTTTTTTCTTTCAGATGTGTTTAAAGGAGAAACAGGCTCATGACCCTCGTCCCAGGGGATGCATCATGCAAGGACCATCTCGCGTGCAAGCATCCTTGCAGCTGCTTTTGCAACTTTCTGGTCCACGGAAGATGAGAAGAGGCATTTGCTGTGCCAGCATGGCCAAAACCAGGTATGGACAACGGGTAGCTGCTTCCACGATGCTTTTAATCCCTGAGGATGGAGGATCCTCCGCCCAAATCAGGCTCTTTGCCCATCCATATGCAGCTGGAGTTATCCTTTCCCACCTTCCTCCTCCTCCTCCGTCCCCTTCGGTAGGCACCAAGCCCTGCCCAGACACCCCAGTGGCCGATAGTCTTCAGCCCTCATCCGTGTGGCAAAGAGGATGGAGAGCGATGGCTTCACGAGCAGCTGCTGTCCTAGAGCCTCCCCGAGTGATTGAAAAGCTCCTCCTGGTTTGGGCTGGCCAGTGGCCAACGCCGCGCGGCTCTCCCCGGCCAGGGGATTAAGGATGTTTCAGTCGTGCTCTTGGCTGAAGGTCAGGGGATGAATTATGCATGGCCACGTTTTCCACCTTGGAGCATGGTATGGGGCGTAGGTAGGCAGAAAGCCATGGATGTGCCATGGGCTGGGTCCCGTGGTGGGATTGTGGCTCACAGGAGGGCAGTTGCAGGCCCTCGGGATGAGCTCTCGCGGTAGGAAAAGGTGCGGAGAGCTTGGAGGGGTCCCTTGGCTTCCCTGGAGAGCTGCTGCGGGGAGGGCACGTCCCTAGGGTGTGCCATGGTGATAGGTCTCAAAAGTGCCCCGGTGACACCTCCCAGGGTTGCTGTGGTGGTATGTCTCAAAGGTGCCGTGGTGGCATCTCCCAGGGATGCCGTGGTGGTACGTCCCCGAGAGGTGCCCTGGTGGCATCTCCACGGGTATGCCGTGTTGGTATGGCCCAAAGAGGTGCCCCAAAAGGGTGGAGAGGCTGTGATTGATGGGCTCTCTGTGGCTTTTTCCTTCGTCTTAAAGAACCTACTCCGCTAACCGACCGTCCCGTTGCAAAGGGAGGCAGCACGGCCAGAGCAGCCCCGGCCCCGAC